ATTTATTATATTTCACGAATATTTTACGCGCGCCTTTCGTTAAGCGCTCTACATTGTTGGAAAACGATCGCTGGAAAACGCGACACGTGAGACCGTAAGAGAAAATTCATACATTGACAGAAAAGCAGGAAACGGAAAGGCAGAAGCTAATTGGAACTCGCGCTGATAGAAAACTGATAGAAGCTACTGTTGACTACCACTTGAAAAATAAAATTGACCATCTGACTACCAGCGCGAGTTCTGCTTTTGCCTTTTTGTTTTTCTGTCAAGGTGTAAATTTTTCTTAAAAACTCGAACAGACAAGCCACTTTGTGGCGCCACAGAGAAACTCCATAGATACACGTAATAATGCACGTATAATTGTCACAAGACAGTAAGAATACGGGACACAAAGATATAAAGATTCCATATTTCACTAAAACTTTATGTCTTGTGTTCTTCCGGCCTTTTGTGACAAATTTGTGCGTATATATATAACTTTGTACGTTTTTCTGTATGTTTTCTCTGTATCATCACAAAAATATCTAGTCTGTAGAGATCTGTGACGTTTGTTTGTGGCGCTGCAAAATTACTTACTGTTTTAAATTACTGTTCGAAGCCTAAAACTACAGCACGACTTCTCACGCGGTCCGATAAGATATGCTTCAAAAATCACGCGGCCATGTACGCGCCGCCGCAAGGAGGCCATGTCGTGACATTAATTTTCGCGTTTCTCCCGCACTCGTTTGCAAATTGTATTTTTATCTCGATATAACGGGCACAAAAGGGGGACGTGCGTCACTCATGTCATCGGCGTCACCTTCGCGCCTCGACGTCACGAGCGTGATCGCGAGGGCCGTTCGATCGTGAATTATGTGTCGCTGAGAAATTGTTTGCAGTCAGCCGGGGTGACACGCGACGCCAACCGTGTTCGTGACACGTGCACCAGAGATAACGTTTCGGGCGTGAAATTTGTTATCGCGTTGTCTAATAACATATATGGTATGTGCCGTGGTCAAACACTTTTTTTTCAGCCAATTTTTTAACTACCAAGATTGATTTTTAAACTCCCTCTCTCTCTCTCTCTCTCTCGCTCTTTTTCTATCTCTCTGTGTTTTGCTTTTTTCGTCAAAAGGCCACGGCTTTACTGTCTCGCGCATAAAAGTTGCATGGCGCAATTCCAGGACAGTTGCATCGTCCGAGCAGCGTCCAAGAGGCGATATACTGTCGTCGGTCTCGGGCGACGATTTTTATTAACGGCTGGTCGCCGACGCAAATAAAACACCGACGCCAACGTGGTCGCACGGTGAAACGGAAAAAAATTATTCATACGTCTTCCAAAAGGGAAAAAAAGAGAGAGCGAGCGAAAGAGAAAGACAGAGAGAGAGAGAGAGAGAGAGAGAGAGAGAGAGAGAGAGACGCGCGCGTGGAAATCGACGGAAGACCGTTTGACCCGCGCTCTTTGTCCTTTTTTTTCGTTTGTCAGTACACGTCGATCGGCCAATAATTGATGCTTCCAACCGGCGAGAAGTCCGGTTCACAGGATGCTTTTACCGTCACCCAGGATAGGTAACGAAACAACGCGAAAGATTTCAACAATCACCACGAACAATTCCACTATATTTCTCAAAGCTGCAAGAAAAATAAATTTTTGAAAATGTTGTCAAGCAATCTTTCCTGTCATTACCGCGTGTACGATAATAATTTAATATGTTTATATTTATATTTATAATCTGATATTTTTTTATATCAAATAATTTGATATCAAAAGATTTTTTAATTTCTTCATTTAATGACTTGAAATTTTCTAAAAATATTGTAGCAATTTTTAATTTTGTAAGCGCATCGATGCTACAACAAGGCGAAACATACTACGACAAATTCGAATTAGTAATATTTATAAATTAATATTTATAAATATTTATATATATTTATAAATATATATATTTATAAATTTATATATTTATATATTTAAAAATTCATATATTTATATATTTATATATTTATATATTTATATATTTATAAATTAATATTTTAGACAACTTGATATTTGATATTTAATTTTCTTCAAACAGAAATAAAGATAATCGACATCAAAAATATTGTGACAATTTCTAACGCTGTAAGCGCGTCGATACTACAATAAAGTAAAACGCTTTACGACGATTTCAAGTTTGAATTCGAATTGGAGTTAATAAACAAATGCTGCACGGAGAAAATTTGCTATAAGATTTTTTAACTGAGAAGCAAATCGACATTCTGCAATAATTCACTATTCTCTCAGTTCTATATGATACTTCCCGAATAGAAATATAACTAATTGACCTGAATCAAAAGCCGGTAATTAGCTAATGCAAGCTGGATTAAATTTTATAGCTCGTTACTAATTCGTTACTGATTGATTATTCACTGAAATGTAGAATCGGTTTTGTGATTTAGCCATCTAATCATTACATATCAAATATGATAGAATAGATATAGCTCTGTCTCTATTCTATATACATAATGTAAAATACATAATATAGTTACCATATCACCACTAGCAGATAAAAATTGAGGTTACATTAATTTTAGAAAAATCTCAAAAAGCAGAATTGGACGTAACATTACTAGCTAACAACCATTTATAGATTTTCATCTCAAAATTGTAATTTCATTCGCTTAATCATCAGTTAACTTATTCATCTAGCTATTGCATGAAGCGAACGTTACATTAGTGGCTAATAGTGATGTTAGAATCAAAGTTATTATCTCGTAGCTAGATACCGACGAGGTTCAATTTCTACTAGAGTTATATCTTAGGAACTGAAATGGGCTATTAAAACACTTGCTATGTTCCTAGCGAAATCTGTTTCTAGCGAGATATACTATGTTCCTTAACAAGATAAACTTTGTTGATAGTCTATCTACTAAAGACATAGTAAAGTTGAAAAGAATTTATATGAAAAAAATAAACTATAACATTATTTCTCCGTATAGTAGCAAACTACTGGCTTTTCAGCGAAATCAGCTGTTTGCTTATCGTTGCTAAGAGGTAAACCATTTCTTTTACACACAGAACGTATCCTACCGCTTCTTGTGAGCTCATTCGTTTATACATTTTAATTAATTACGGAATAAATATTGAGAAAATTTCAAAATGATACATAACTTTTATGATTGTTTTGACCCGTTCTACCCGTACACGGCGGTTGCTCGATCAGTTACCGGACATCCTGTATTTTAAGATCAAAACAATAAAAATGTTCAGGATCATATCCTAGGGTATTGGCACTTTTACCCTATCGACAAATCGACATGCCGCTTTTCAATTTGCCGTGATAGTCACGACAGCCGTCACGGTGCGTCTATTCCGCGTCGAGCGAGAGACGCGCGTAGGGATGGAAATTATCGAATGTAAAGCAAACGGGCTAGTTACGCGCGCTGTCATAAACTGAGCTCCCCGGGGGATTAGGGCCGATTTAGCCCGCGAGATGCACGCGCGTTATCGGGCGCAGCCTCAGGTGTTGCAGCTACTTCGAGTTAAGTCGCTGCTGTCACGCGAGGCGCGCTACGTGGTGTGTCATTGGTAATTGCGTGGATTTAACGTCGGCAAATGCACGACGCCGAATATCAATCTATCCCGCAGATGCGGTCGCCGACGTTGCTTGGTCAGGCTAATATCAGAGTCACGTCGCACCATTCTCTTGATTAACGGAGTTAAATCGCGCATGGCGTTCTCGTCGCCTCGACCTGCCGCATGAATCGTTAACGGAATAGAAGAACGAAAGAGCAATCGACAATCAGAACGAATAAAAATGATTAAATTTGTCATTGCTAAATATCGACGACGAAAACAATATGTCGCGAACGACGAAAAATCCGCGTGTCCGTCGGGATTAAACTTTCAAACTTGATTACTACCGCGTCGACATGCTGTCGGTCGATAAGTTCGCGATTTTGCGACTATCGATTTCGACGACTGTTCGAGAGAGCGCTGCTTCGTGTTTTGTCGAATTCGCGTCAAGCGATAAATGAAGCGACCTCGCTCGCGGAGAAGCGCACCGTAAACATTTTGTTTGTCGTTCACGAACCGTTTGAAGCACGACAACACGCGAAGAGAGACGTCGCGAGAGAACCGACGGTCCAAAGACTAATTATATCTTACTTGAGATTCGATTTCTCGCCCTATTCCTCTACTCTTTTATTCTCTTTTTCCATTCCCGCGCCCTCTGTCTCATTAATCGCGCGCGATCGTCACACGACCGCGTCTCGATTTTATCGAGATCTTGATTCTCCTCGTGTCCAACTAAATTAAGTAAGATTGTCCGTAATTTTTGGGGTGAGTTTTGTTCAGTGAGAGAATGCTCTCGTTGGACGTATAAACGAAATATAAACGAAAATTTCGATTCAAGTTAACTAGAAATTTTGCCAACTTAAACAGAATTCTAATTCTAGCTTCAACCGGAATTTTTGTCTTGTTTATAAATTAAAAGAAAAAAAATCTAAAAATTAGTAAATACTTTTTTTATTTATTTAGTGAGTAGTAATAGTATATTTACTTACACTAATACGACATATTTCGAATAAGAAAATATACATTTTCTTAAAACTTTAAGAAAATCTTAGGTGTTTTCATATGAAAGCCATTATTTCTTTTATTTAAATAAAAGAATTTGAATTTAAGTAAATATACTATTTTTAGTAATTTAGTTAACGCAACTAAACTTCTTTTTCATGTTTGCTTCGCTGCCTCGAAAAGAATATTAATTCTTCTAGGAAAGGATAAAATTCTTTAAAAAAAAAAAATTATCAACTGAACTTTTTCATGTAGACGAGCGAGACATGACGTTATCCGTAATGTCGTTGTGCTCACAGAATAATTGAGATAATTGAAAAATCACAAATATTTAAGGCTCCGAAATAGTTTAGGGTAATTTGCTGGCTGTTCAGAATTTCCCTCGACAATATGTAGTAATAGTCCAATTCGTCAAATATATTCGTCTTGACTCAACCCTATTCTCTCTTTTTGTGTGTTACAGTGGCTCGGTCTGGGCATCATGGGGGTGGGTGTCTGGGCATGGACCGAGAAGGACACCTTCAACAACTTATCCCGCCTCACGAACATCGCGCTCGATCCAGCATTTATCCTCATTCTAGTCGGTGAGTGCTTCTTTTGCTCACCTTTTTGTTCCCTTTGTCTCTACACTTCCTCTTTCGCGCTCGCCTCACGACTTTCGGAAGGTCGTATATGGCGAGTTAGGATGACTTGGAGTGTCGCCGGCCTAAACGCGAAGGACTCCACGAAAGACGGTAAATCTTAATTACGACGCGACACCACGGCGGCAGGGCGGCTGCCGGAGATTTTAACTCCTCTTGTGCGCGCACTCGTCGTCGCAGTATTGGCCTCTCAAGAATATTGTCGGACGACGCGAAAAACAAGCCGAGAACTTTCAGCTAAATTAACGCTCGAGTTAATTAAAATAAAAATGACGACTAAAGCCGGTGGGAGAGAGTCGCGCGATATTTCCTCCGCACATCCTTAAATCCGTAAATTCCAGATTTTCCGAGATTTCAAAAGAAAGTGCCGATAATATTCAGCGTTTTTAAAAACGTGTACATCGTGATAAAAGGGCGAGGGATTGCGCGTTAATAATAATCAATAATAATATCCGAGAATTCTTTTTATGCATAAAAATACAAGAGCGATTATTCATAATCTCCGGGTTAATATTGAAAGTCCAAATTCTGATAGAATTCTAGATAATACAGACTTAACGCGATAATACCATGAAGTGAATTTTGCTTAACGTATATACGGAGGTAATAAAGTTTTATAATTTTGTATACGTGAAATCACGCATACACATACATACACACTCACACACACGCGCAGTAACAACGCTATAAAGCCCCGACACGTTGTGGTATATGCGAAATTTTGTTACCTGCACGCTCGGATAGTCACGATGCGTTCACGCTCGAGTTATTGTGATGTAACGAGCACCGTATTTTGTACGTATCGTTGTGCGCGCGTGCACAATTACACGAGACTCGTTACCGGTTAAATGCGAAAACGAGTTCCCTTGCAAACTGATTGCTCGGAAAAAATGGATTATGCGACCGCGCGACCAGAGACACCGCGGATTAACGCTTCATTAAATAAACACGCATCACGTTAAATATGCACATTTTGCAAGTGACCACAGTATTAATATTCCTTTACCTCGTAACATCTACAGCAACGATATTAATCTCGTCATTGCTACAATAAACGAAACGAAAAAAAAGAATAATTGAATCGCGAATGAGAGTTTTGGCACTAAAAGAAAAAAATAATTTATTAACTAAATTTATAGTTGTTTTTGGCTCCACTTATATTTTTTTGGTTGTTCTAATACGAAAACAATCGTACTAATATGCATATATTATTATTATCACACTAACATTATAGTAGAATTTAATAAAAATATGATTTTTTTATTGTAATTTATAGTAATTATTTCTCTATGTAATTTACGAAAAAAAAATTCTCTGCCATAGCTAATTATGGTTTGCCGCAAATATATTTGTTACTATTAATTGATGCTTGTTACTATTAATTGATGCTGTTACTATTAATTGATGCTGTTACTATTAATTGATGCTGTAACTGATACTGTAATATATTTGATGCTGTAACCAAAACTTCTACTACACAATAAAAAACATTTTATATTTGTACCGATCTGTATACAGAATTTGAGTTTTAAATTTGCAACATACCCGTGTGTTAATTTAATATACTGTGGTTGTATTATTTTGACTATTCTTTGTTATAAGTTTATTCATTTCTTTGTTAAATTTATATTCCAATTCTAAGTGTTGAAATAACACAATAGTTACAAGTGTTATATTTTTGTGTTAATTTTCGACATATTATTTGTGTTATTTGTTTACATATTTGCCTTGTTAAATTAATACAAAAATTAGAACAAATAAATTGGGACATGTGATATGTGTTAAATTTAACATAAAATTTTTAGCGGTGTATTGTTGCTACTACATCGATTTACAGTAAAATGTGTGCCTACTGGAAAATGTACTTTTAGATATCCATATGCTACAATAAGATTGAACTACTTCAGCAGCACTTCTTGCTGCTCCAGCTAATTCTTTTTTTCCGTGTTGTAGTTACAACTACCAAACACCTTTTCCTCAGTGCGTGCTGCTTATATGAATATGTTTACTGTGCTTTAATCAGTCACGACACTCAACACTCTCCCAAGTGGGTAATGAAAAAGCAGCATAGATGCGTGTGGGAACACTTTCCCGAAAGTTTTCTTTTTATTTCATGTCGCTACGTGTACTCATTCGCGAGTTATAGCCGTTTACATCGACAGGCTTTTGCTCGGCGTTTGCACCGAATTGAACGTGCGATCTGCCGGCGCACCAATACACTATGTCTTGATACTATCCTTTTCTGAAGTAAGGTAAACGACCATGTGGCCACAACGAGCACGTGATCAAAGATTGTTTGGGTCGCGGAATAAGGGAGAATTCACACGTTTGTGATGGAAAAAACAGGAAACAGAAAAACAGAAGCGAATTGAAACTGGTAGAAAAGTAGAAACTGTTAACTAAATATGAGTGTTTGATTGAACATCTGACTATCTGCGCAAGTTCTGACTTCTGCTGTCTTGACTTCTGCTGTTCTGCCAAGGTATGAATTCTCCCTAAAGATAGCGAGCGACACGACTGACTGACACGGCATTTAGCATTAGTACTTTTATACGCAGAATGACCAGAGAAATCGATTTATACCGAAAAAAAACTATTTAATTCTATTTAAAAAATTAAAGGTGAGCTGGATAGGACAGTTATTACAAAGTCAAATAAATACTAATATCTTTTTTCTCCTTCGATATCCTACAACTTTTATTGGAAACACTTTTTCATATCTTTCTTAATTTCTGAGATATCGAGCCATAAAGAGTTATACGGGCTGTTTTATATATTATTAGTACACGCCGAATAAATATCTTTTATTTCGCAGTTATTTTTTCTCTTGATGTATCAATGATCCGCGCGGATAGTTTGCAATTATGAGGCATCGCGTCATATCGCGATTCGAGAATTCTCAAACGAACGTTTATTGAAATTAACAAGCCGCAATTAACAATTATGCGGTTGTCGATTCTTTCTCCGTCCGGGCGGAAGCAAATGAAGCCGCGCGTTTATCGAGTAAACAGCTATCGGTGCGTGTCGCCAAGCGCGCTTGCAACAGCGTTGCAGTCGCGGCTGCAACATAATGATAACATAATAAATAACATCGCGGAGTTTCAATTAACGCGAGCGAGCATCAACAAGCGCGGTGCCCGGAATTAAGGTTGAAGTGATGACACGACACATGAACGAGTCGCTCGAACATTTTGTTTGCGCGCGAAGCACCGAGCAAATCAGACGGAATGACGGGCCGAAAATAATACGGGCTGTATAACGATAATGTATCCATGATACCGTGGCCTCGCGCCGAATGCGAGAGCTCCTATGAATCAAAGCTCTCACGGTAAAATCACACTCCCCCTCAATTGAGGCGGAAGATGAGCCATGCGTCAATAAGATATTACCAGTAAAAGGATGCATTTCGTGTCTATGTAAAGTTATTTTCAAAATTAAAAAGAAATTATTAGAACTCTGATTGCCCGCCGCATAGTTCTAGAGTTCTCAATCAATTTTAAAAATAGTTTATGTGATTGAAACGCGGTCAAAACGCCATTTGAAAAAAAGGGAGAAAGGACTAGACTTGCATTTTTGAGAAATGAAAAATCGCCATGACTCTGCAGCTTTTAATTTTAGTAAGTTAAGAATAATTTGAGGAGCTATCCAGAACTCTAAAGAAAAAATCGGATTTCTGAAAAAAAATTTCACTTTCTTCTTTGATGCTATAAATAGTTACTGATGTTTTTCATGTTGAAGCTTAAAAATAAATGTATAGATGTATGGGTATATGTAAATATACATATAGATATATATAGGTTATATACATAATGGGATTGTAAAGCAACATTCTTTTCATAATTTTTTTATCTTCTTTTTTTGTCGCTGTTGAAAATTTCAATATAGTTTGAAAGTTTGAAGGAAATAAAAAGAAAGGAATTGCCAGAACAAATTTAGCAGTTGTATATGTCTAGAAAAATATAAACTGTATATGTCTAGAAAAATAGAAGATCTAAATTTAAATTTAATAAAAAAAGTTAATGAAAGTGAAAAAATACATTGGTATATTCGAAATAAGATTTGTGTTATAAGTAGCATTATTAAGAATGCAAATTAGCTCTTGACTCTAAATTTCAACTCTGGACATATTCCATATTTCTACTGCATTCACTACACTAAGAGAAAAAAATATCTAAAAAATAGTAAATATTTATTATGATAGATGCTAACAACATATTTACTACATACTACTTTACATATTTACATATTTACTTCATACTAATATAAAATATTTCTCAAATAAGAAAAAATATATTTTTTTAGAACCTTAAGAAAACCTTAATTTTTCATAAAAGCAATTATGTATTCTATTTAAACAAAAGAATTTAGATTTAAGTAAATATGCTGTTAGTACATCTACTACAAATAAATATTTACTCTTTTTTATATTTTTTCCAGTGCAGATAATGTAGGCACTCAAAGAAATGGTCCCTGAATTATTTCAAACGATGTATTTCGCTTGGTGGTAAATAAACATCTTCAAACCCATCACCATCTACTTTTTGCTCCCATTGTTTTCACTCACCAAAATACCGCCGAATCAGGGCTAGACTCGTTTCGTAATGTCTATTTAGAACAAAGAAATACAATTTCGCTGATTAGACTTCAGAATTCATCTTTTCTTGATTAATGGAGAATTGAGCGTGAAAACAAGTATGTATATTTTTCGCGATCGTAATTCAATGATTTTCAACGCTAATAATCATATCTAGATTTACGATCGCAATAGATTCAACGTAGAATTACAGCAAGTTTATGAACCTACCTTCGAACCGACCCTGTTTGGCCCAAGCCGGATCCTCCGGCACAGCATCCGCATATCCAACCTGGAACGGCGTCGCCCGGAACCGGCGTCCGTGTGGTCGCAAGTTCCGCCAGAGATCTAAAACAAAAGAACGCGTTTC